CATTTTATGAATTATATTATTATTGCATTTAGGTTATTCAAATTGAGATCCTAAATTTGGAATTCATCGAAGGGGACACCATAGACATTTCTGTCTAATCACTTATTGCAAGTTATAATAGGCAGCGATATGAATAAGGAAATTGGATTATAACACAGATAGTAATTTTAGAAATCATATTCATAAAGATCTTCGGAAACAAAGTTGTTTGAAAATTGCTCATAAAGCTCACATTATGTTATTTTACATCCACATAAGTACAGTTTAAATAGATATGGAAGTAATTTCGAATATATACAGTACAATCTATTTACAATACAAATTTTTCATAATACTATAAGAGGTTTTGTAGTTATATGGTCCATGACTTTTATATTTTTAGAGTTTGACAAATGTCACAGTTCATAGAAGAATGGAAAGTATCAGCAGTACAAACTTGCATTATATTGCATGATTTCATCATCCGAATAGGCTTACTAATGCATAGAAAGAAGATTTTCCAGCATTCCAATTTGCAATGAAAAAATTAAAATAGTTAAACAGGTCCCACATGATAATAATAGAATTTTTACAGAATTTTTCTTATGTTGTTTAGATACTAATGCTGTTATTCATTGGGTATTTTCTCAATTACTTCCCGAGCATACTATATAGTGGTCATGGTGATAACAAAGATACCACTAATTTGGATGCACAGTTGTAGAAAAGGAAAATCAAAATAAACACATTGAAATTTATCACAATATGTACTCATGTTGAAAATCTACATATGTTCAAGCAAGTTCATAAAGAAGAAATGTCCATTTTATATAGCTATATAACAATCGGGGTAAAGCGTTAAAATGGCTGTACGAATTGGGCCAGTCTTAGTTGCATAACTTTATATTCATTAGTATTTATAAAACATTTTCTAGATTATATGATTTTTTTATTTAGATTATTTAAATTAAAAACCTAAATTTGGAATCAATCAAAGGAGACATTTTGTCGAATAACTTATTCCCAGATATGACAGACCACTACTCAAATAAGAAGATTCGGTTGATAATATAACTTTGGAACACACATCTGTAAAAATGTGCATGCACATAATTACAAGTTCTCTGGAATAAAATATTTTGAAAATTGATTATAATGCTCGCATTCAATTAAATGTATGGACAGTTCTGAAGGAATTCCTTTCGAAAGATATGTCAAAATCCATGCATTTTAGACACAGTCAAGTATCATTCATATTGATATTGAAAAAGATGAAGAACTTCAACAATCATTGGATAATGCACTGTAAAATATAATTCACTAATGGTTATTTTCCATTAATTTTGAAGAATGAACTGGAAAAATTTTCTATGAATTTATCGAAGAATGGATAGTAATGTATGAAGATCTGGGGTTAATAAGAACCACCACCAATATCTAAAAAACCAGTAAAGTTTAGCATTGTTCAACAACAATATTTGAAAGTAGAGGGGAAAAGATGTATAACCAGCTATACCCTTGATTCTTATGACTTTGCTATCAGGAGATAAACGGTAATCTTTGAAAATCCATATTGAAAGTATTTCCTTTTGTTGTTAGTTTTTTGGGTTGTGAGCACTGTGATTTAGTTCACGAGACCTTAATATAAAATTTAACTATTTAATTGTTTTATAAAAGGTAATGTTAATTTTGAGTGAGATTCAACAGTTTTCTTTATATAACCACTTTAAAAACTTACATCTGTGTGGGGCAAAAATTACCAACTAAACATTGACCACGGCTAAAGATTAAACTAGTTGGTTTGGTATTTAGCCTTGAGGCAAGTTACATGAACTTCCCGATATGTGTAAATAATCGACTTAATAAAAAAAAAGTGTAAATAATATTCTTTATCAATCCTGCTTTGAAAAAAACGATAATAATTTTAGCAAACTTTGACGAATTTGTAAAATTAAACTACTTGTCGTAAGGCCATAATATTACAGTAAGTTCTATAAGACCATGATGTATATCGCCAAAAAAAGTGCCATGAAAATCGGCTTAAATTTTTTTTCAACAATAAATTACAAGAAAACGGCTCGGTAGATTTTCACCTAAAATTAATCAGCATCATTCCCAAATGATATCTTTCGAACAGTTTTTGATTTTTTAAAATCGGTTCGGTAGGATGAGCTTAAATGTCGACGAAAATTTAACACTTTTTTTCAACAGTTAATTACAAGAAAACGGCTCGGTAGATTTTCACCTAAAATTTATCAGCATCATTCCCAAATGATATCTTTCGAACAGTTTTTGATTGTTTAAAATCGGTTCGGTAGGATGAGCTTAAATGTCGACGAAAATTTAACACTTTTTTTTAACAGTTAATTGCAAGAAAACGGCTCGGTAGATTTTCACCTAAAATTTATCAGCATCATTCCCAAATGATATCTTTCGAACAGTTTTTGATTGTTTAAAATCGGTTCGGTAGGATGAGCTTAAATGTCGACGAAAATTTAACACTTTTTTTCAACAGTTAATTACAAGAAAACGGCTCGGTAGATTTTCACCTAAAATTAATCAGTATCATTCCCAACTAATATCTTTCGAACAGTTTTTGATTTTTTAAAATCGTTCGGTAGGATGAGCTTAAATGTCGACGAAAAGTTTTTTTCAAATTACAAAGAAACGGCTTGGCAGATCGTTGCACAAAACTGACAAACGATAGTCCTCATCGAAATACATCAAATGGCTTTTAAATTTCTAAAATCGGTTCAGGCGTTTTTGAGAAAACGTCGATCAAAAGTCTTATTTTGACAAATGCCAAAAAGACCATACTGCTTTTTGCAAACTTTGACGAATTTTTAAAGCTGAACCAGTCATCGTAGGGCCGTAATATTTTAGTATGATCTAGAAGACTATGGTATCTATCGTCAAAAAATAATCATAAAAATCGTCGAATTTTTTTTTTTTTAAACTTTATTACAAGAAAACGGCCCGGCCGATCTCTACCAAAAACTAATCAGCACGATTCCCAACCAATATCTTTCGAACGGTTTTTGAATTTTCAAAATTGATTCAGAATTGCGGGCTAAAACGTAGACGAAAATTTTTTCACTTTTCTGCCATTTATAAAGAAACGGCTTGGCCGATCGTCGCACAAAACTGACAAACAATAGTTCTCGTCGAGATACATCGAATGGCTTTTAAATTTTTGAAATCGACCCAGCCGTTTTCGAGAAAACGTCGATTTACGGCAAAAAATCTGTTCACATACACACACACACACACACACACATACTTTTTCCAAATTTGATCTCATTCGATTCAGAATGGCTTGAAACGTCGAGAAAACATAAAATTAGCGAATCGGATTTTTTGATGAAAACATAAACTTCTCCTTCGGGAAGTTAATTATTATCTTGAGCTCTAGGAAGCTCCATTCCTACATCATTTGTGTCACTATTACTCGATAAAATCGTGTGTTTTCTGAAAATAGTTGGTACTAAAATAGTTAATCTGCTAGAATCGATCAAGATGGCTATAATGAAGTGAATTCTAGATGGAATGTGAATTACTTTAATTCTGGTGGAAATGGCGCTCATTAAACCATATGATTTATAAGAAAAAAACTTCGTATATGCTTCTTATTTGCATGATAGCTCACTCATTTTACACGCAAAAAACTTGTAACAGCACTCATTTTAAAGCTTATGTTAGCACTATAAAACCCAATTTCACCGAAATGCATAAAGGGCTTTAAATACAACAATTGAATCTTAAATGAAATAAAAAACGACTTTGCTCTTTCAAATCTTGCTTAATATTTTTCGTAGAACCCTTTATGTAATACAGATTTATTAAGATTTTTATTGACATTATTTTGTTTATTACATGATTTTCGTTAAAATGTATATTTTAGGACATATTTGCAAGAAAACGAAGAAGAACGCCAAAAATATATGAATCTTTAGTCGCCAGTAACTTGAAAAGTATTAGTTTTTCTTGAAAAACTATAGAAGACATTTTTTTCTTATAATTAGTTCTTCTATTGATTTCCGACGTTATTTTGAAAAAATGTAATTACACATTTGAGAAGGGGTGTCATCCCCCCGGGGGGTAATGGCGCAACATTACATATTGCTCTCGTCAAATATTTCAACTATATTGTTGGAAACACTTATTTCATCGTCGGTCCACTCTACTTTCAGAGTCGAACAATATTTATGTACTCGGTGGCGTCCTTGTTTTAAATTATCTTTTGAAAATATATTTAAATTTACTGTACACCGAAGTCATATTAAAAACAAATATTTAAAAAAATAGGTAACTACTTACTTGCATAATCTATAATGATAACTGGATAGTGTTTCCAATTTTTGGATGGACTTTTTAAATTCTCGAGCCATTTACGCATTTTCTTGTATTCGAATGGCTTAGGAAAACATGTAAAATTTTGACTTTCTTCGTGGAATAACCACGAGGATGGTACAACCATAACAGGAGATTCTCGCTCCGCTGCGAGTTTCTGACTCCTCCTTCTTTGGGATCTGCTTTGTCCCTTGGCGTTTGCGACATTTTGTGACCGTGTGCCCGATGTTGCCGCAAAAAGAGCAGATTTTCCGTCTTTCCACCGGATTGCTTTCTTCCTTTTCTGCCTCGAAAATGTTAACTTCTACGTCATGAGCACTTTGAAGCAGGTCATCGAACGTATTAATCGTTGTCCGTGGGGTGCGTTTACGGAATCGCATATGCATTAGTCCAGCGGTTTCCAACCTTTTTTTCCTTGCGCCCCCCTCTTGAAAGAAAAAAATATTACGCCCCCCCCTAATTTCTTTAACAATTTAATTTAAATATACTTAATTAAAATTATGATTTATTCAATCTCGTACCAAATAATGCACAATATACATACATACAAAAATAAACATACAAAAATATACATACAAACATAACTATTGATTATAAGAAAAAATAATTTTAAATTTAATAAAAACAAATGATATAATATTTCACACATCATTAAAAAATTAATGCGACGGTTAAGCTTGTTTTTTAGCACAAATTTTCTCAAATCGCGGCTCCATTGTAGAAATCGCTGTTCTCAGTTCCTTTTTTATCACTAAACGAGATCGGTACTTTGTTTTTAATACTGCTACTGCAGAAAAACCAGTTTCACATAAGCAGGATGTCACAAATGGTAATAAAATTTCTAAAGCTTTATTTGTCAAAGTTGGAAAATCTTTTACTTGTAACCAATCCTTTACTTGTAACCAAAACTTAACAATATTCTTTTCGTATTGAAACATCTGCTTCAATGTGCTATCACTAGATAAATCAATTATCATTTCCTGCTCTGCCGTTAAAAGACTATAATCATAATATTTATCAATAACAAATGGATTTCTAATCCATTCGTATTTGGACATATCTAGATCTTTAAAGTAATGCCCAAATTGGTTCCTTCATATGATTGATAATAAGATCTTTACTTGCTTCTATTTCATCAGTAACACATGTAGTTTTAAAAGAGGGAAATATATCAAGGTTATTACTTTTCATACTAGCTATCCACAGTTCTATTTTTTTTTCATAAACGCCGTAATCTTGTCCTTTTGAACAAAAGCATGAATTTGAGATCCTTGCATTGATTTATTTAAATCACTTAGTCTTTTAAAAATGTCAACTAGATACGCAAATTTTGCGAGAAACTTCGTGTCATAAAATACATCTGCTTCATCTCTTTTATTATCAGCAAGAAAAATGGCAGTTTTTTTTTTGAGCTCAAACACCCTTTGAAGTACTTCAGCACGAGAAAGCTAACGTGCTTCACAATAATAAAGTAGTGCTTTGTATTCTGAGCCCATGTCATCACACAATGTTCCAAAAAGCCTTTCTCTTAATGGACTATTTTTGATAAAATTAACAACTTTTATTAACTTCCCGTAGGGTAAGTTATAGTAATCGTCCAAAAATCGAAATCAAAAATTTTTACATTTCTCGACGTTTTGAAGGTTTCTGAACATTTTGGCATACTTCAGAAAAAATGGATGTGTGTGTGTGTGTGTGTGTGTGTGTTTTGTATGTCCGCGTTTTTTCGTCCACGTTTTCGGGCGCACTGATCAACCGATTTGAATGGTTTAAAAAACATTCGATTTCTGTTGATAGGGAGATGTGCTGATTAGTTTTTGGCAAAGGCAGGTCCAGCCGTTACGGAGATATGGAGCAAAGAGTGCAAAAAATAGAAAGCGAGTTTTTGAGAGAACGGATCAACCGATTTGAATGGTTTAAAAAACATTCGATTCCTATTGATAGGGAGATGTGCTGATTAGTTTTTGGCAAAGGTAGGGCCAGAGGTTTCGGAGATACAGAGCTAAATGTTAAAAAAATGGCTGTTTTTGAGAGAACTAAGCGTCCGATTTAAATGATTCAAAGAACTTTCTGCTTCTTTCAACAATATAATTGATTTTGGAAAAAAAAATTTTTTGTTTCTAATTTTTTTTTCAAAAAATTTTTTTTGTAATTTTGGATTAAAAATTCAAAAAATCACCCAGGCTAAGCACAGTCTAAGCGCCACTCTGGTAGAAATGTTTACGCAAGTGCGTTTAGACTGTTTATGTACTGGAGCACTTTTACAATTTTGTGAAAATTATTGAAAAATGTGAAAATGCCGCCAAGCTGAGCACAGTATAAGTGAAAATGTCGCACAGATTTATTTGCAAATGCGTTTAGACTGTGACTATGCGGGAGCACTTTTTCAATTTTGTGTAAATTTGGCAACTATTTTTTTTTGAAATTTAATTCGAAATGAAATGACGATTGTTAATGTTATGGAGATGATAAATTGATTTATTTATAATTAACTTCTCGTAGAGCAAGTTATAGTAATCGCAAAATCGTTTTTTTTTATATCTTTACGTTTTAAAACCTTCTGAACATTTTGGCATGCCTTAGAAAAAATTGATGTTTGTGTGTGTGTATGTGCGTGTGTGTGTGTGCGTGTATGTGTGTGTGTTCGGATACAAATTTTTGTCGACGATTTCGGTTACACAGATGAAGCGATTTAACTAATTCAAAAAATATTCGATTTGTATTGATAAGAAGACGTGCTGATTAGTCTTTAGCGAAGACAGGCCTAGCCGTTCCGAAGATACGGGGCAAAAAGTGCCAAAAACGGTAACTCAGTTTTTAAGAGAACGGAGCGTCCGATTTGTATAATTCAAAAACATTTTACTTGCATTATCAAGATGAAGATTTGATCAAATTTTCATGATAATAGGTCTAGCGGTTTCGGAGATCTAGTAAAAAAAATTTAAAAAAAAATAACATTTGGCGGTCAACAATAATCATTAGACATTAGACATATGCACATCAAATTATGAGATATTTTATAGAGATTTTAACAATAAGTATACATTTTGTTAAGGGGGGCGATACATGTAATCGCCTTAATTTTTACCATTTTTTGAGGACTTTTTAAACTGGGAAGGAATGACTGAATCTTTTTGAACTTTTTTAAGGTTATTTATTATATATTAAAATACACAAAAAAAATTTTTTTTTAATTTTTTTTTTTAAATGGCTGCCGTAAAAATAAATCTGCCAAGACCCTCTCGGAAAACGCCATCAATTTGCGGGCGTTCTCACTTTTCGTACGGTGATCCGAAATCAAAAACAATAGTTTGTACGTGTTCATAAAACATATATCTTCTAGTTAAACCAAAAAAAAATTGAAAAAGTCACAAAATCGTAAATTGGCACACCTCAGAAAAAAAAAGTTCGATTTTTCACCTTTTTTTCAATGGTTTTTTTTGGTAAAAGGGTTAATTTTTGAATTTTTTTTGGAATGTTTGAGGTTTAACTAGAAGCTATTACTGTAAAGTAGATGTGTGCAAAATTTCATTGGAATCGGTTGAGAACTTTTTGAGTTATCCCGCCCGCAAATTTCAAAAATGTCGTTTTGAGAAAAACGCGTTTAAAGTTTTGACATAGAAACAGATAAGAGTACAATAGCACTCAAGCGTCGAGTTGAGGCGTGGCACTTAAATGAGTTTATATTGTATAAATAATGATAATTTTGTTTTGAATATTTACAGGCATATTTTTGAGATGTTATTGTAACGATTTATGAAAGAAAAAAAAATCGATTTTTTTTCTTGTTACATGTATCGCCCCCCTTAACACTCCTATGGGTTCCGTACCCATATTATTTATGATATTTAGTCTCTATGCATTAAAGCAGTACGATTGCTTTGAAAAAAGGTTCAGAATTTCCAAAATATTTCAAAATAAATTTTTCAACAAAAAGTAAGTTTTTGTCAAAAATTCATATAGTTCCTCAAAAATCTATTTTTTCAGAGTAAATTTTTTTCAAAAATGTTAATCTTTTCAAAAAAAAAAAAAAAATTTTGGTACGGGAAGTTCCAGCAATTTGCCTTAAGGCACGATGCCATGCGCCCCACTAGTTATAATTTCAAATACTTCAAGTAATTCTTCACCCATATTTCTTGCAACAAAAGATTGCCTATAAATCATACAATGCGTCCAAACTGCACGAGGAGCCACTTTTCGAACTGGGGCCTGCAGACCAGCATTTTTTCCTGCCATAGATGGAGCTCCATCAGTGCACAGTCCAACACAGTTCTCCCATAAAATACCATTTGCAATAAAAAAGTTATCAATCATGTTAAAAACTTCACTCGCCGTAGCTTTGCCTTCAATTGCCCTTACAGAATAACAACAACAGAATAACAACTCTTCTCTAATATCATTTTCGATAACATATCTTATATATGTTATTAAGTGTGCATCCTTAGCAACATCGGTATCCTCATCTACTTGCAACGCGAAAGAAGATAATTTAATTTTTTCTATCAACTGATCGCAAAGATCATCAGATATATCTGATATTCGTCTTGCCACCGTATTATCTGCCAGCGTAATGCTTTTAATTTGATCAGCATATGATTCACCAAACATCGTAGCTATCTGGCTGCTAGTAGCTGCTGGTAGTACTAAAGTTTCTCCTATTGAATGGGTTTTTTTGCATTTAGCAATTCTATACGAAACTTTGTATGACGCAAGTAACGCTTTTGTGATATAGACAAAGCTTTTGAAAACGATTATTTCTGTTTATTTAAGTTATCTAATTTTCTTTGGAAAAATTCTTTTGTTTTGCCAACATGATCGGCGTGCACTTTTTCCAGATGTCGTTTTAATTTATTTGGTTTCATGCTATCTGAGGCCAAAGTATTCATACACAGCAAACACATTGGTCGTTCTTGACCATTAATGATCTTATACGTAAATCCCATTGGATCAGATTTTCTATGTTTAGTTTTACTATTTTGTGAAGAAACATTTCCATTATTTTCACCACCCTCTTCTTCTGCTTCATTAAATTTTCTTTTCAACCCAGTGACGAATTTATCCATTACAAACGGTTTTTATAACAAATCAAAGAAAATCACTTTTAAACTACTTTTCACAATAATTCCTGGCTAATAATGTGCTAAAACTAAAGCTATAAATTTTAACTCGATAATAATTTAGAAATGATTTTTTCTATATATCAACGCGTGTATCTCCAGCACAACTAATGAACTAATTCGATTTATAGATAATAGAAAAAATGGATGCTTTTGTTTATTTACTTAAGTTAGTCTCGAGTAAGCACGTGAATATTCGATATGATCCGAGTGATTATCTTTTGTTTATAGGCCTACAGCTCACTCGGTTATAAACGCAAAAACGAAATATTTTGAATGCATCAAAAGTATAGTATATTCATGCTGTTACATTTGTCCTGACAAAATTGCAGCGAAAATTGTAGATTACTTGCATGTATTTTGCTGATTTGTTTTTGACACTTACTCAGCATTTAAAAACAATATTTTTGAAAGAGCTTTGCGGCCCCCAGGGGGGCGCGCCCCACAGCTTACAAACCGCTGCATTAGCCCGTAGAGCATGTCTATCTGCATATCTGTGGAGATATCGTAGGGCAACTGCGTCAGTCTATATAGACGCTGTGCGGGGGTTTACTTAAAGCAAACGACATTCTTATTTCTTTACTTTTTCGGGAATCCGTGTTCCATTGAACCTGGCCGTGTACCTGGCAAAGCTGCCCGTCACCAAGTCCGTCCGTATGCTCGATTGTGCGCTTATCACTCACATCAGTCGCTGAAACATTACTTCTGACATGGTAACTGCCATTTTTCCGTTTCTGGCTCCACGTTGGGCGCCAGTTTGTAATAGGGTGGGGTTAGAATAAATGAAATTATCACAATTTTTCAACAACCGTTACTTTATTTATGGGTATGTAGGTTACAGAACTCGGAAAAATATGTATACAGTCACTAAATCAACTACGCGTAAACAAGGAGTAAAATTGATAAAGTCGAAGTTACTTTATCGCACTAAGAGTTTACACAGTTTTTCTTATTCATGCGTCCGCACTGAATATCACAAAGTACGAAAGAAAATTATTAAATGCAACTACACTTAATAACTTTAAAATCGTTTGTTAAACTTGCTAATCGCGCGGGCGCAAAGCTCATAACAAGTTTCTTAAGATATTAGGGCAAACGCGACTAAACACTTTTTGACAAATTTCTTAACTTTGTATGGCCTTAAATGCTAATTGGGCTTCCCCTACTACTGTAGTGGGGTTGATTTCTTGGCGCGGGTGATGGTTCCGAAGCTTCCCCTGGCCCTTCCGATAGTTCTCTCGCGTTGTCTCGGAGATCATCGTCGGTTCATCTCGCCAAAATCTTCAGGGGATGAGATGGTCATTGGTCTATGATGAACTCATCTCGCTGAGGTCATCAGTAATTGGCTATGATGCATTTCTCTTCCGATGACGTAGAATGTGTAAATATTATTGTCTTCCTCACACCCTCGCTGATTCACAGGGCATAAGTCCTGTATATCATCCTACTATCTTTTATCTTTCTTTTACTTAGATTGACTCATAGGGTTAAGATGTTATCTTCTCCCTTAGTCGGATAGTGCAGATTACACAACTCTTTCATATCTTTCTAACTTTACGCTAGGTCGTACGCTCTGAGGTCATAACGGCACTATGCGTAGTTTGTTATCGAGCGCCCCAGGATTCTCCGTCCTTGTCGCGCTTATGCCAGAGCGTATGCTGCATCATACTTTCACGCGAGACCCTTCGTTCGTCGTTGTGTGTGTAACTTTCTCTTGGTGACGTCATTGGTATTTTCGTGCGTTGTTAGCAATAATATTTGCGTACAGCAAATTGTACATGCATGAAAAATATTAATTACTATATGACCAATAGTTGTTTATTAAATATAGAATGTTACAATATATATCTTATATATAAAAATGGAGCTGTCTTTCAAATGTCCGAATAAAACTCGAAAACGGCTGAATCGATTTGGCCAGTCTTAGTCTTGAAAAATTCGTGCCAATCCAGAGATTGCCCAAAAGGTGAGATAATATTTCAAATCCGCGTAGAAACTTTACATTTTTAATTTGAAAATTTTTGGTAAACAGCACTTGATTCAAAATGGCTTCCCACACAATATTATTCAAATGACAGATGTATCGAGTATCGCCTACTCATGTCAAAAAGATGGTTGTCAAGTTGGAACAGATTATGTGTTATTCTTTTAATTTTAAAATTTAATTATTTATATATTTTTAAATGTTAATAAGAATGCTTATTTTGATTTTATATGAGGTTTTTATTTAATTCTCAAGTGTTTGCTCACTGCCTATTTGTATTTTTTATCAACAGCTTGAAATAATACTATTATTATTGATTGATTAAGGCTTGCTTATGAAAAAATAAATAAATAAATTTGTTTCAAACGCTGTGCTGTGCAAGTACTTATTGGTTTAATGTGAATAATGTGTTACCATAACATTTTCTGAATTATATTATTATTGCATATAGGTTATTCAAATTGAGATCCTAAATTTGGAATTCATCGAAGGGGACACCATAAACAGCGATATGAATAAGAAAATTGAATTATAACACAGATAGTAATTTTAGAAATCATATTCATAAAAATCTCAATTATGTATACATACAAGTTCTTCGGAAACAAAGTTGCTTGAAAATTGCTTATGAAGATCGCATTATGACATGTGACATCAACATAAGTGCAGTGCAATTAGATAGGGAAGTAATCATTACAAATATTTACAGTACAATCTATTTACAATACAAATTTTTCATTACAATTGTGAATAATGTGTTACCAAAGCATTTTATGAATTATATTATTATAGCATTTAGGTTATTCAAATTGAAATCCTAAATTTGGAATTCATCGATGGGGCCTCCATAGACATTTCTGTCTAATCACTTATTGCAAGTTATAATAGACAGCAATATGAATAAGAAAATTGGATTATAATACAGATAGTAATCTTCGGAATTTACAGATCTTCGGAAACAAAGTTGTTTGAAAATTGCTTAGTATCAGCAGTACGATCTTGCATTATATTACATGATTTTATCATCCAAATAGGTCGTGCACAGAAAAAAGTTTTTTTAGCATTCCAATTTGCAATAAAAAAAATTGAAATATTTTAACAGATCCCACATACAGAATTTTCTTTATTTTGTTCAGATACTAATGCTGTTATTGATCGGGTCTTTTTCCAATTACTTCCCGAACATACTATATACAAGTCATGGTGATAACAAAGATGCCACTAATTTGGATACACGGTTGCAAAAAAGGAAAATCAAAATAAACACATTGAAATTTATCACAATATGTACTCATGTTGGAAATGTACATATGTTCAATCAAATTCATAAAGGAGAAATGTTCAATTTATATAGCTATATAACAATTCGGGGTAAAACGTTAACATGGCTGTACGGATTGGGCTCAGTCTTAGTTGCATAATTTTATATTTATTAGTATTTATAAAATATTTTCTAGATTATATTTTTATTTTATTTAGATTATTTAAATCAAAAACCTAAATTTGGAATCGACTAAAGTGGAAATTTTGTTGAATAACTTATTCCCAGATATAACAGACCACTACTCAAATAAGAAAATTCGGTTGATAATATTACTTTGGAACACACATCTTTAAAAATGTCAATGCACATAATTACAAGTTCTCTGGAATAAAATATTTTGAAAATTGATTATAATTTGATTGATTATAATTGATTTAATTGATTTGGGTGCTAGAACAAGTATAGCAGAAAATGAGTACAATTCTGAAGGTATTCCTTTCAAAAGATAGACACAGTCAGGTATCGTTCATGTTTTATTGAATCACTCTACAAATTGAAAAAGATGAAGAACTTCAACAATCATTGGATAATGCAATGTAAAATATAATTTAATAATCGTTATTTTCCACTAATTTTGAAGAATAAACTGGAAAATTTTTCTATGAATTTATCGAAGAATGGATAGTAATATATGAAGATCTGGGGTTAATAAGATTCACCACCAATATCTTAAAAATTAGTAAAGTTTAGCATTGTTCAACAACAATATTTGAAAGTAGAGGAGAAAAGATGTATAACCAGCTATAACCTTGATTCTTATAACTTTGCTATCAGGAGATAAACGGTAATCTTTGAAAATCCATAACAAAAGTATTTCCTTTTGTTGTTAGTTTTTGGGTTGTGAGCACTGTGATTTAGTTCACGAGACCTTAATGTAAATTTTAACTATTTAATTGTTTTATAAAATGTAATGTTAATTTTGAGTGAGATTCAACACTTTGAAAACTTACATCTGTGTGGGGCAAAAATGACCAACTGAACATTGACCACGGATAAAGATTAAAAAAGACTTTGATTGAATTATTCCATATTTTTATAGAAAGTGTATAAAACTTCCAGTTTGATTGTATAACAAAATATGGTCAAACGAATATTGTTATTATGAATTATATAATTTATTATTATACAAGTAGACTTTGAAGTTTGTTGTGTTTATAATACCTCATTGTCTGTACCATTCAAA